GTGCGCTATGTCATCAATGACTTACTTATAACCCTTTTTATTGAGTTCAGAGCCGTGGTGGCATTTCCCAGCACCAACATTTAGATTTAGAAGGTAAAAATACTCCATGTGTCTTCGTGCATGCGCAGGGAAGAGTAGTGTGGCGCGTGCGCGGTTGGCTTTTATCATAGATTATTCGTAGGCAGAATTATCAGTATGTAATAATAGATTGTATTGTTAATTATGTAAATTATATTATCAAGAACAATTTTTAAAATTTTGTCACGTTATTATTTTATTTGATAATAAATAAATAATAACAACAATTTTTTTTACAATGTTTAATAACACTACTTATAAAACTAGACTAATATAAGTACTTCTAAAGAGATATTTAATAACACTACTTGTAAAACTAGACTAATATAAGTACTTCTAAAGAGATATTTAATAACACTACTTGTAAAACTAGACTAATATAAGTACTTCTAAAGAGATATTTAATAATACTGCTTATAAAAAAAAACTAATATAAATACTTCTAAGAACATACTAAGTTGACTAATAATAAAAAAAAAACGCAAATAAAATAAAATTAACAGGTCGCGGGTTCGACGCCTTTCAGGATCAGGAGAAAAAAAGCAAGTACTTCCCTGGCACGACTGGCGGCGAGTCCGGCGGAAGTGGTTGGAGATATGTGTCCTTTATAGACCGATTTCGCTTGCGAATTCAATGTATATTTTATATATATATATATATATTTCATTTAATTCCAAATCCTCCCATCTTATCTCGTTTAGAAATAAAATAATAAGAAGGATGTCTCAACCCCTGGCGAGGTTCCCTGGAACACACAGTCGAAATCTTTCATGAGCCTTGCCTCCAAAGTAGGTAATATTATACGCCCACCGCCAGAATCAACTAGGCGAGTAAAACTGATAAGTTTGGTGTGGCGGTACGTGCTACCAGAACGGAGGCAAGAAAATAAAGTTATATCAACTAAGCATCTACTATGAAAAGACATACACAATTACGTGGTAAAATAACTAGCATGTGACATAAAATTAAATTACACACTAAGTATCAATTGTCTAAACTTCAAAATCAAAGTAACATAATATTTGTTACACTATTGTAATACATATATTATAAATTTGCTCACACTTACCCAATATAAGGGGAACAACCGTTAATATTTAATAATTATTAACAAACCTATAAAAAGCTATTAGCTATAATTTGCATAACGTATGCGTTTTGAATTATTTAATATAGATGCAGAAATGCATTTAGGCGACTGGACCTTCACGGTCACACTGAGGTCACTCGTCAGCCGCGCGGACTATTCATGCACCCCCACTTGTCTTCGCGCGAATTAGATGACACATTACAATACCCCGCTGGCCACCCAAGGATTTTTCTTCCTATAAGTAGAAAAATCCGCAGCAAAACCAAAAAATATGCTATTTAGACAATTTAAAATCTTTTATGTGCCATGGCCCTAAATATTTACCGTGCATGTCCTCCAATTCGTACACTAGAGGTGACCTCTTTTTAGTTATGCGGCATTTAATAAATTTTGGGGCTAATTTTTTATTAAAATATTTGTGTTTATCACTCAGATAGTAAGTGCGCTTAAATACAATATCGCCTTCGTTAAATTCTGTGAATCTTCTCCTTAAATTATAGCGTTTGGAATTTTGTTGATGATGATGCCATAGTGATGCCTGAACTTTGTTGAATATTTTAGCGAGATAACCGATGTTCTCAGCATAGGCGTCTCGCGGTAAGAAAACAATTTCATCGCCAAGGTCGTTGTCAACGTAGTGAGAACCACATATTACCAATTCACGCCCATATACAAGGAATGAGGGAGTGTAACCAGTAACCTCGTTAACGGAGTTGTTTATTGCAAACAGTATTTTAGGCAAATATACATCCCAAGAACGCTGATCTTCTTTCACAAAGGTCGATATACAGGTGACAATAGTTTTATTATAGCGTTCCACCAAATTAACCTGAGGAGTATATTTAGGTGTAAGAAAAACGTTAGGAATATTATACTTATTAAATAACGCAATGGTCTTCTCACAAATAAATTGGCTGCCATTATCCATATACACCGTTTGGGGAATGCCATGTGTTAAAAATACAGAGTCTTCCAGATGTTTAATTACAATGTCGGCTGTAGCTCTTCTTACCGGAAACGCTAAACAATATTTGGAGAAACAACATGTTACGACTAAGATATAAGAATTTTGTTTTCTACTAACTGGCAGGGGTCCGATGAAATCAATTGAAATAATTTGGAAGGGTCGGCAACACTGTTTAGGTCGTCCCATTTCTCCTAACACATTATGAGTAGGGAGTTTATAAGTTAAGCATATGTTACACTTCGTAACAAACTTTACGACGTCCCGATGCATACCTGGCCAAAAATACTGCAATGCTAAACGGCGATAAGTTTTATGGATGCCTAAATGACCTGACGTGGGTTCTGCGTGATTTTCTTTGATAACGTGTTCTCGTAATTCTAATGGAACTACTTCTTTCCACGAAAACTCTGTAGTTAATAAACATTTATTTTTTGAACACCGATATAGCTTTTCCGCTTTGATAAGAAAATTTTCATATTTACTTGGATTGTTCATACAACCATTATAAATGTCTAGATACCATTTATCATTCGTTGTTAAGTAAGATTTTGCTGTGGAAATAGAAGAAACTACGACAGCGCGAGATAACGCGTCTGGAATAATGTTATCAGCACCACGTCTATGCTTGATAGTAAAATCAAAAGAAGATAGCCTAATGCCCCATCTTGCAAGCCTGCCCGTAGGGTTGTTTAAAGAGAGAAACCACTTTAATGCTGAATGATCAGTGTAAACTACAAAAGGTTGACCATTTTCAAGATAGCAACGCCAGTGTTCTAATGCTACTATTACAGCTAATGTCTCTCTCTCGGTAATGCTGTAATTCTTTTCTGCAGCATTTAGTGACTTGCTCATATAGGCAACAGGATGTTCTTTGCCATCGACTGTTTGAGTTAACATGGCACCTACTCCATAATTACTGGCGTCTGTGTGAACTTGGAAGGGCAAATTATAGTTAGGACAATGTAAGACTGGTGCAGATACTAAACATTCTTTTAGCTTTTTAAAAGCTATGTCTGCCTCTGGTGACCAGTAAAATTTTGGAGCACCCTTGCGATTTGAAGTAAGTTTATTAAGAGGCCCAGCTATAGTGCTAAAATTTGGCACAAAACGTCTATACCAGGTGGCTGTTCCTAAAAAACGTTTTACATCTTTTTTTGAAGATGGTGTTGGATACTCTAAAATAGCTTTTACCTTTTCAGGGTCTGTTCTGAGACCCTGGGCGTCTATTACGTAGCCCAAATATTTCAGACGAGACCGAAAAAATTGGCTTTTTTCAAAGTTTATTGTTAAATTTGCTTCCTTTAACTTATTTATTACACGTAATAATAAAGAAACGTGTTCATCGAATGTGTTAGAAATAATAATTATATCATCGAGGTATGCAAATACCTTAAGATCAAATGAACCAAATAATAAGTCTACAAGCCTTTGTTGGGTTGCAGGTGCATTGGTAAGGCCGAAAGCCATCCTCTTAAAACAAAAGGTCCCACGACCTTGGACATAAAAGGCAGTTTTTTCGCGATCGCGTTCTGAAATTAAAATTTGCCAGAATGCTTTAGAAAGGTCTATACTAGATATAAATTTTGCGTCTCGCAGATTATCTAGAATTTCGGAAACATATGGCAAGGAATAAGCATCGCGTTTGGTTACAGAATTTAACTTGCGACTGTCTAAGCAAATGCGCGGTTGGCCGTTTTTTTTTGTAACAATTAAGATTGGAGAGGACCAAGAGCTCTCACAAGGCTGAATTACGTCCAATGAAAGCATCTCGTCAACTTGCTGGCATAAAATTTGCTGCTTTACAGGGGACATTCGATAATAACGCTGTCGTATAGGTTTCGTGTCACCCGTATCAATAGAATGACATACAAGAGAAGTACAACCTAAGCCCTTGCGTTCGGAAGAAACGTCCTTAAATTGTTCAATTATGTCGTCAGCAATCAAGCGTTGGTTGGCATTAAGCGATGCGTATGAATGTATATGAGATTTTAATATTGATTCATTCGTGTTTGAATAATAATCGGTGAGTTCTCTTTTATATTCAATGCAGTTGATGTATTTTGGACATATGTTAAATTTTTTCCAGAAATCAATACCTAATATAAGAGAGGTCTCTATTTCAGGAACTACAAATGTCTTCAAAGTATAATAATTGTTTTCAAAATTAAATGGGAGATTAATATATCCTAAGCAATTAAGTTTTTGTCCACCGGCTGCTGTTATAGAGACTATTTCATCAGTGCGCACAGCAAATCCTTCATCTATCAGTAAGTTGTGTGCATTATTGCCTAGTAAGGTGACGGCTGAGCCAGAATCTAATAACCCCCAAAATTTTGTATTTCCTATTTTGACTGATAAATAAGGTCGCACGTCGTTAGGTGGTTTATTAAGTAGAATTGTAGCAACTGTATAGCTATTAAAAAAATTATTAATAAACTTCAACCACTGTTTCCAATCGGTATTATTAGAGTGGTTGAGGAGGTTGCTACAATTCTGCTTTATTAGTTTTTTGAACTAGACGGAATACTTGTACAATCTGGACAAGTGTAAAATGTGTAATCATCACGGCCACATTTGAAACAAAATACTTTGCGTTTTTCTGTACATTGTCTTAAGTTGTGTGTATCAACACGACACCGGGGGCAAAACTTTTGTTTACTTTCGTCATATTGAATAGCGTCAATTGGTTTATTATGACCATAAACTCTTTGTTGCCGTTGCGGATAAGTGTTGTTTAAAACATTAGAATTGGGAGAATATTTTTTATAAAGGTTACTTGAATTAGGTATAGGTTTATTATAATTATTATAAGCTTTATTGCAATTAAATTTATTAGTGGCAGAATAGTACATTTTATTTTTTTCTGCTAAATTAGTGAGTGGCTTAAATGCAAATTCGGGTGCTAGTGTGGCTGAATTTATTTTAGGAGGTTCATGATATTTATTAAGACAAGACTGTACATTCTCATAATTTTTACAAGCCGTACGTAAGACCTCAATAGATTTAAGATCAGGCACTGCAATTAAAGCGCTAGCATAACACGGTTTGATATTGTGCATAATAATTTCTAACTGATCTTCCTCCGAAGGTTTTTTAAATAAACGGGAAAACATGCCTGACATAATGGCTAGGTAAATAGTAATATTCTCAGTTTCACCTTGCGTACGAGCTTTTATCTCGTCTAATAAGCGATAATCATGATCAGGAATAACAAAAACATCCTTCAGTAATTCGCATAATCTATCCCAAGACGTAACATGTGATCTTACACTGCGAAACCAGTGTAAAGCATCACCAACGAAAATTTCTGTTCCAAAATCTATAATTTTAGAAGAGGGAATACCACGGGCTGTTATATAGTCGTTTATACGTTGGACAAACGAAAGTACGCACGTTTTTCCATCAAACTTAATACTAGTTAAGTCCGAAGAATGAGCTCGATCACATGTAACAACAATAGGGGACGGTGTAATTGTAAGAGCATCTGTAAATTCAGATGAGGAATCAGTATCAGGCTTAAGATGTTCTAAGTTTTTAAAATTTGTATTTAGCTTGAGCCTGAGGCTTTCTAGAATATCTGTAGACTTTTTATCTACAGCATCCAGACGTTGAATCCTATGAAATAGATGGTTAAGTAAGTTTTGAGTACGTTTATATAAATTTCTATCATATTTCACTGATAATGTTTTTAAATTCGTTTCTACTTTAATAAGGCTTTCGCGGATGCCCTCTACGTCTACAGAAAACTCAAACCCAGATTCAATAATATCATCCGAAGGCATCACATTGGCTAATTTGACTATCTGCCTGCGTAATTCTTGAACGTTTTCTCCGGGTGTGCCGCCTCTAATGGCCACCTCATAGCTTAGTTCGTTTTTTTGTAAGGACAAAAATTGAATTTCGTATGACATAATTTAAGAAGTCTAAGAAAATCCTTATACTAGGTTTATGTGAGCAGGTTTAAAATTCTATAATTATACAATAAAACTAATTTGTTTAAGTAAGAATCCTCCGTCCTGTTACAATTTTGGTAATAGTAATCCCCTAAGTTTTTTTTTTTTTTTTTTTTTTTTTAAGGATGCTCGTAAAAATTACTACACGGGAAAGCAAAAAAATAAAGAGAAAAAAAAATGCAACAATAGGGTGCAACTGTAGTATATATTTGCTTTAATAAAGCTTATTATTAAATATATTAATAAAACCAAAATATTTTATTTTTGTACGTATACAAATTAGACACAATAAGGATACCACTAAAATTAAAACATTATATACACTGCAGTTGCAAAAGTATAAAAGGCAAAATAAAAGTCATAAAAAAAAACAAAAGGTTTACAATATACACGCACACAACACTAAAATTCCTGATCCTGAATAACCGAGTTGAGGCGCCAATGTCACGTTATTATTTTATTTGATAATAAATAAATAATAACAACAATTTTTTTTACAATGTTTAATAACACTACTTATAAAACTAGACTAATATAAGTACTTCTAAAGAGATATTTAATAACACTACTTGTAAAACTAGACTAATATAAGTACTTCTAAAGAGATATTTAATAACACTACTTGTAAAACTAGACTAATATAAGTACTTCTAAAGAGATATTTAATAATACTGCTTATAAAAAAAAAAACTAATATAAATACTTCTAAGAACATACTAAGTTGACTAATAATAAAAAAAAAACGCAAATAAAATAAAATTAACAGGTCGCGGGTTCGACGCCTTTCAGGATCAGGAGAAAAAAAGCAAGTACTTCCCTGGCACGACTGGCGGCGAGTCCGGCGGAAGTGGTTGGAGATATGTGTCCTTTATAGACCGATTTCGCTTGCGAATTCAATGTATATTTTATATATATATATATATATTTCATTTAATTCCAAATCCTCCCATCTTATCTCGTTTAGAAATAAAATAATAAGAAGGATGTCTCAACCCCTGGCGAGGTTCCCTGGAACACACAGTCGAAATCTTTCATGAGCCTTGCCTCCAAAGTAGGTAATATTATACGCCCACCGCCAGAATCAACTAGGCGAGTAAAACTGATAAGTTTGGTGTGGCGGTACGTGCTACCAGAACGGAGGCAAGAAAATAAAGTTATATCAACTAAGCATCTACTATGAAAAGACATACACAATTACGTGGTAAAATAACTAGCATGTGACATAAAATTAAATTACACACTAAGTATCAATTGTCTAAACTTCAAAATCAAAGTAACATAATATTTGTTACACTATTGTAATACATATATTATAAATTTGCTCACACTTACCCAATATAAGGGGAACAACCGTTAATATTTAATAATTATTAACAAACCTATAAAAAGCTATTAGCTATAATTTGCATAACGTATGCGTTTTGAATTATTTAATATAGATGCAGAAATGCATTTAGGCGACTGGACCTTCACGGTCACACTGAGGTCACTCGTCAGCCGCGCGGACTATTCATGCACCCCCACTTGTCTTCGCGCGAATTAGATGACACATTACAATTTGTCATTTATTTTGCATATAATATGTGCTAATTTAAAACATAATAATATTATATCAGATAATTTACATTTTAATGATATTTTTATTTGAATATTTTAAAATTTGTTGTGTTTTAGAAAATTTATTGATATAACATTTAATTTAAAAATATATTTATTTAGATTAGAATAAGAGTCGTTCATAAATGTTGGGGAGAGGTAAAAATGGACGAATTTATTCCACTTTTCCCAGCTTGGACGTGGAAACCTAAAAATAACATAAAAGAATAATCAGCAAATTTAAATATCAGAAATTTAGTCAACTTCTATTTGTTTCTACAAAAAAAAATGTGCATATTGTATTATGTACCTTCGTGGTAGCTCAGATGGTTAGCGCTCGCTGTAAGCTTCACAGTACTCGAGCAACCCGGGTTCGATCCCCGCCGGCACCAATGAAATTGTTAATTGCAATTTTAAGTGCTGATTTACCACGTGCTCGGCGGTGAAGGAAAACATCGTGAGGAAACCTGCATGTTTGAGAAATAAAAAAAAAATATTTCGATGACATGTGAAGTTCGCCAACACGTATTGGGGCAGCGCGGTGGACATTTCCTTGCCCTAAAACCCTCTCAGAAATGAGAGGAGGCCTGTGCCCAGCAGTGGGACGTAAACGTAAATAGGCTGCAACTTTACTACTTTACTTTACCTTCAGAAACGTCGCATCTGAACATATAAATTTCATAATCTATATTCCATGACCCGACATGGCGTCTTAGGAATAATTTGTTTGATTAATAATCTATAATACTTTTTTATTAATTAAGTATCTTACTCACCGATGAAAGTTATTACAAGGAATAACTTTTCATTCATATTTGCTAACATTTCTTGAATAATTTGTGCAATATCTAAAACACACGATGCCATATTATATCAAGATTTTTTATATAGTCAAAACAGCACGTGTCGACTCACTAGTACCACAGAGTACTTTTATATATGACTAGTACTTAGCGAGCGACTGAGTAAAGAGCGGCGATATCGCAGCAGTTGAATGGCGCATGCTACACACTCGATAATTATCACGATATTTGGATCATAATCTAGGATTACGATATTTATCGAGTGTGTGGTATTGCATATCACGGATCGTGATACGGATCGCTGGATTTCTAAAAATCCAGAAATCCAACGATCTGTATCAAGTATCGTCGATAAATATCGAGTGTCTAGTCTCTGGTCGATATTTATCGTGTCAGTATTAATTGTCAGCGATGGAGGAGGACGTGCTTCTTGATGCGGTGGCGGCGCCAGCCGTACCTCAAACGAATGACCAAAAAACTTGAAAGAATTCACGTAAAAGAGACGTGTAAAGAGAAAAATAAATGGATAGAGCCAATGCTTCATCCATTTTTTTCTCTTTACACGTCTTTTTAATGCTATCGCTAATATAATAGCAACGCAAGCTTTACTTTTACGAGTATAGTCACTCAATACGTTACTCGCTTCAGATTATGTAACGTACACGTCTTTAGTGAATGCAATCTGTCGTTGTACTAACGCGATTAGTATCGAGTGTGTAGTATGTAGATTCAATCCAAAATATTGCAAGATAAAAATCACGTTAAATATCGTGATAATTATCGAGTGTGTAGCATGCGCCAATGGGACAGCGTAACTAAATGCAGTGTCACCTCTAGTACGTGGTACATAGTACCTCAATGCTTTTAACTGATTTTTGCAGTCAAAAATAGTTTTGACTAAGGCCGTTAGTTAATTCCACTTTTAACTGCAAAAAATAATGGGTAATAGTGATTTTGACCAAATTTCATAGGTTAGGTGTTTTCGACCAACAATGGTAGTCAAAACTTCTTTTGACTTATACTTTTTGAATTTCTGAAATTAAAAAGGTCAACTTCATCAATATTATATTTTATATCATTATAATGTACGCGGCTTTAGGGTGGCCCAGTGGCCACCCTAGCTGCACCTTAACCTCCTGATGCTGATATTGCGAGTTTTGAACGATAGTCTGAAGTTTAAATTAGACAACACCACTTTTGACTAAGAACGTTGGATAAAACCACTTTTGACAACACCACTTTTGACTAAGAACGTTGGATAAAACCACTTTTGACAACACCACTTTTGACTAAGAACGTTGGATAAAACTGTTTTTGACTAAGGGCATCGGTCAAAAGCATTTTTGCCTAATTTTTGCAGTCGAAAGTGGTTTTGACCGGTTACGAGTTCTGACTGTGACATTATCAACGACATACATTTTTGTGGGTTCGCTTTTTTCATTAAGAAAGAAACTCTTGTATCAGTATAGAGAGTTAAAGCAAAAACATCGTAGTTGTGGTGAATACTTAGCTCGTGAGAGCTTCCTACTTTATATTTTTTCTTAAGTTGACACATTAGTTTCCAAATATTATCCGTTTTTCTTTATTTATCAAAGATCTTTCATCCAGATTTTGAAGAAACTTTGTCAACCCATCCACTTATCACTTCAAAAAAAGAGATTTAGCTTAGAGCCTTTTAATATTTTTTTCTGACAATATAGGTGTTGCTGCATTTTTCTTTTTCTTGGTGCAAGTGCAATGGTGGGAATCGAATTATAATTTTCAGATGTTTCCTTTAACTAAGCCTGAAAAATAAATGGCTATATTATGCTCTTATCATCTTTCTATGCAACTTACTCAATCTCAATAGTACAACTAGTAGAAATGACTATTTGATAAATAAGTACCTATTTATTTTAATCAAACATATTATGTATCTACAGTAAACGATTAAAAGGAAACTCGCACGTGGAGGAGTTGATGTTGTACATGCAGATGTCAACGAATCAGGTATAGTGAGAGTGGCACTAATGGCATCGTGAGATGATAGTCTGTCATCAGCTAGAGTATATGATAATTGATGACTGGAAAATTAGATTTAACATTGTAGGTATATTTTTTTAAGTGGAGAAATCTAAGCTTCATCTCACAACTATAATTAACCACACACTACACTATAATACATATTCAATATTTTAAGGGTGCTACGGGGCATTACATCTTAGTCCTCAGGGTTGGCGACGCATCTGCAATATGTAGCGGTTTGTTGGCCTTGAGATTGTAAATGTCCATGGATCACAGTTTACTTAAAATCAGGTTGACTGTACGGTAGTTTGTCTTCTCTATGATGTAAAAAAAAGCTTTTTTTTCTTTTTTTTTTTATAGGAGAGGGGGCAAACGAGCATGCGGCTCACCTGATGGTAAGTGACTACCGCCGCCCATGAACAACCGCAACACCAGGGGAATTGCAGATGCGTTGCCGGCCTTTTAAAAAGGAGTAGGCTCTTTTCTTGAAGGTCCCTAAGTCGTATCGGTCCGGAAAAATCGCTGGTGGTAAACTATTCCACAAGGAAGTTGTGCGAGGAAGAAAACATCTTCTAAATCGCACAGTGGTGGACCGCCAATCATCCAGATGGTGTGGATAGTATCGGGAGTTCGTAAATTTGGCGGCTGGGATTAATCCGAACAATTCCTCAGAGCACTCCCCATGGTAAATTGATGGAACAATAATACAGTGTGATATTAAAGTTAGCTTGGTGCCCTCGAGTAATCGCCTTCTATAGCTTCCCAACTCTTGAAAGTCAGAGAACTGGAAATGGTATGAGCAAATGACACTGTTTCTTGTGGGAAGTCAGGTAAGCCTGTTATTACAAAAGTACATCAATATATCCTTTAAACTCTTTTGATATTTTAGGAAACCTGAAATAAATAAACAATATGGTCGAAGTTCACACCTAGTAATTTTAATATAATGTTTTTATAGGATAGGGTGATAAACGAGCATACAGTCCACCTGATGGTAAGTAGTTGCTGTGGGCTGTGGCCCATAGACATCTACATCTATCCTCACTTGCGAATCAAAATCCAGATGCGTTGTCACCTGCGTGAAGACTATGATGAAATACCTCTTTTTCAGTAAAAAGGGTCTCTGGTTCTCTACACTCACCATACGAAACACAGCAGTGTTAAGCTGCTATTTTACGCTGGTATTCTATAATAATTAATATTCGTAAGTATTGTATTGTAAGTATAATTTACTTGTATTGTAGTGTAATTTGATGCAATTTTAATATTAAAATATATTATAATAAAGCTCACAATATTTATTAAATAAATCGGAAAACAATCTCAAAAATAATTATACGCACAAGAGACATAGCTGTATAGACCATATTTGCCATTTGCCATTTTTATCGATAACTATTTACAAACCGGTATATTAAGCTACCGCTCGGTGACAGCAATAACTCGGTTACAGACTCAGATCAGTCGCTCGACCTAACCGCATATTGTATGAGGGCGAGTGGCTGGTGGTATAGCAAATCCGATACAACACGACCGTTACTATGGCAAATATGGACTGTTATTATTGTAATTTTTAAGATTAAAAAGAAATAAATAGTACTAACATTATAAAGAATTACGTAAATTTGACATAGTAGATCCCTTTTTGCAGCAAAAAAAAAACTGAACAATTTGGCATTTTTGTAGGACGTCGGTTCTTCCTTGAGCAGTGCGGTTGCAATTAGTTTTACATATTGTAAATATACGGACGCTGTGTCAGTTATGGTCTTATACTTTGCGTAAGGCTACTACCGTCCGGTACGCCGGCCCGTGTTGCTTTATGACTCTCAGGCTTCGAAATTTTATTGGACCAACTTAGTCAGATCTATGGTTAAATAAAAATATTTTAAATAAAATAATATAAATTAAAATATAGAATTATATCATGTTTTTATTATACAAAAGATTAAAACATTTCATGCAATACTTTTGCTTAAAAAAAGTCATAAAAATGACTTATATTTCAAACGTTCACATTAGTGGAGCCCAGTGACTTACCAACAATGCAGTTATTAGGTGAAGCAGCTAGGAATTATATGT